AGAAAACTATTAAAGTTTATAATTATTAACAATGCCAAACAGTTTTTCCTTTTCCTGAAAAAAATTAATACAGACGGAAAAAATAGAGAGAATGAGAAATAAAGAGAAATGTATTTTTAAATAAATAACTCTATTTAGTTGGAATATATTTTGATAAGTTTGCTATAACGTTTTTTACATTTCGCAAATATGTTTTTCATGAACTCATAATTGGGTTAGCAATATGTGCTTTTTGTATTATTTCAATAACGTATATATACACATAGACAAGCACCTTTTAATTTTCCAATTCGTAAACATCCATTCGGGCAAGTAAAATATGTCGACAAACATTTGCATCGAAATAACGTGGTACATTCACGCGCTATTTCACAGCTCTCTCATGATCTCCTGCGTCACTGTCCATTTAAAAACCAAAACGTATCATCAAACGGTCAACGACTGCCGCGCGGTAAAAATTGCTCGCCCTGAATTATGATGTATAGCTGCAGTTAATTAATTAGATGAAAATTCATCAAAATGCATATATTAACTTTCACATAATTAAACTTTTTAATCAGAATATTATAAAATTGAGAATTATACAAAATTAAAATCTATATTCGGCGTGAAGAAAGGGAAAATCTCACGTTTGTCCTCTTTTTTATTTCTCTTCTTCTTCAACGCCTACGCAATTTTCGTAGCTTCCCCGCCTGAAACGCAAAGCGCGATGTTTCAGGTTGCGAGGCGAAAGTCCACCGTTTCATCATGCCGCAAGTTCCTCTAACGAATGAATAGAGCAAAGGGGGGAAAAAGAGGAAAGTCTTCCGTGAAAAAATTTTGTCGACTCGCGCGGAAACTCGCGCAGGTACTGTGCGGGAGGAAGGAACATCCTCTGCTGTTTCCTTTTCTTTTCCTCGCAGCATTTCCGCCTTGGGTTCGTTACCGTCGCGAATGAAAGTCCTCGCGCGTCTTCTGTGAGCATTTACATAGAGTCTTCACTTTCTCTCTCCTCCTTTCTGTCATTAAAGTATTTCACCTTTGCGCACTTAAAGGCACAAGCGGGAAGTGATTTTCTCAGCAGATGCACGACAATTGCGCCTGAAAAATCAGCTGACAACATTCACATTGACGTGAATAATCGTGCAAAAGTATATAGTTATGTATTTTTCTTACATTGTTTAGCGATTCTTGTTACAAAATAACGTACTATCAGTAAACACCAACATAACTATAAGTTATTATAGTTGTCTATAATCTACAGAGTCTGGACAACTCGCGTCATCTTTTGATTGGTACATATTCTAAATTCTTATGCCTTTCAAAATGGTGGTAGCAATTAATGTATTATATAATGCATATACATTTACACATGCATACATACATTTATACGCTATTTTGAGGGGCTTTGGCATTCAAATATCCAAACTCTGTATTCCACGGATATTGTTAGCGAATTCGATTGGATACACTATTGCGCAACGTGCATATTAAAGCTGTTGTACACTGATTTAATCTGTGTAAAAGTAAAGTACAAATATTTTGAATTATAAAATTTATATTACAAATTTTACTTAAGGCTAATCGTTGCGGCTATATCGGATCGTGACGTTATAAGCGGAAAATGACATTGAAGTCTCGTGCATGCCATTTATATAAATAGAGAGAGAGAGAGAGAGAGAGAGAGAGAGAGAGAATTTGAGTAAAACAAAGTAATGAGTTTATTCTTTATTCCTGCATTCTCTACACTGGTTCACAGGGTGCAATAAGTTGAACCGTAACAAATACACGTTTGTTTCGCTTCAAATTATTGCACCGTGTGCACCAGTTCAGTGAGTGCAGAAAAGAACAAACTTAATGAGATCGCTTTAAAACACTTTTGCTTTACACTTGTAAAATAACGGAAAAAGCTTTCCCCTTTCCCTCCTGACAGTCAGTAGATAGTCATAAAAGGCACGTAAAGTTCATTTACCAGTGTTTACTTAATGCTCATATAGTACCTTTTTTCACTTTATGTGTCTTTGCGACTATTTACTGATTTTTAGAGAAGATAAGGATAGCTTTCTTCTATTTTTACAAGTGTTTTTAAGCGATTTCATTAATTTGTTTCACCGAAATTCTCTCTCTTTATTTATAAACGGCATGCAAGAAACTTCAACGTGTCATTTCTCGCTTGTCACGATTCAATGTGACCATCACGAGTAATTTAGGAGTCTAGCACAATAAAATGTATTAAGGATTTCATGGTTTAATCTGATATTATATTAATAACACACATTTTTATGTCAGTTTGGGTAGGACGGCTTTAATGTGCACCGGTGCACATTGAGTGCGCTCAATCGAATTTGCTATTAGCTATAATTTCCCACTCAAGAATATAATTGTAACATAACCATATGTGGTATGTAACAGTTAGATTGTTAAATATGTGGGAAATTATAACCAACAATATAACGTGACGTGTCGTATATGTTATATTATAACATATAATTATATTATTGAGGGCGAAATTATAATTAACAATTATGTTATTATTGATTAGTAGTTTATTGGATAAATAGTGTTATTTTTCAAGTGTTATTTTTTAACTTTACATTAAACATTACTTTTTCTGCTTGTTAAATTGTGCGAAACATCTTCTTTTGTTAATATTCGCTGCTATACGAGAAAGATGAGGTCAACGAATAATACCTACGGGTTATCGTAGTTATATTTATATCATGCAGTAGAGTGAATGTCGTGAAACTTTTCCTTTGATGTCATTAGCGCGGTTACCGGTGTATCTGTTTGAGTCGTGTCCGCGCTAACGAGGCAACTTTCCGAGCAAACTAACGCTTGGTTAATAAAACTCGATACTCTTTCAATTACACGTACAATTAACGAACTCGAGAGTTTTTTAAAAGCCAAACAATTGATGCCCATTAACTATATCGTTTCAATTATCATCCGATTGATCGCACCGTACCTAAGAAATTAGTACTAACTTGACTTTCTCGCGCTTGTTATCAAATAATTAGCGACTTGTGCAGCGTCGTTGCGCTTTTTCGTCGACGGCCTGTTTAATCGATCGTAAGCGGTTCAATCGCGATGGTGCAAAAAAAAGGCACATTTCAGACGAGGAACTCCTCGAGGATACGAAGGAATGAAGAACGAAGAAAATTCCATGTTTTAAGGTAAAAAAAGCGAAAAAGGCGGGACCGTTTTACGGTAGAAATGGTTTGCGCAGAAGGATCGAAGCTATGGAGATGCAAAGGGCATTATATAAATTGAAAAAAATAAAAAAAACCGTATGCCCGAAGGTGGACGCGTACCACGTCTAATGGATCCGCCCATTATGACAATTGCATACGCCGGAACTATAAAGCTAAGCAAAGAAGAGGTCGGTAGAAAATCAAGCTGCTCGTCGTTTCTTCACTTTTTTTTTGTTGCAAGAGAAATGACGGCGAAACCATACCTTAACATGCAGATGGCGCAGAGATGCAAATAGAAATCGTTGTACGCAACAACACGTCAAAACCCTTTGTGGTCTTTTGTTTAACAGTGGAAATATAAAAAAATTGTACCATTAACCTAACCTCATGTGTCGCTGTGATATTAAAAGTGATATTAATGCCTTTTTCGTATTCACGTGCAGCTGACAGTAATGAATACGAGTCTATTAAGCGTTTATGGAAATCACGTGTTTGCATACGTTATGAAAGTAGAATAATTGGACGCGTAACGGTTTGTCAATCATCGTTTGAATATTACAACAATCGGCATGGACGCATTGATTTGCCTATTCGAAAAGCTTTGAACTTCAATATTTTCGCATAATGTGAATATTAACTAATGATGGGTATCAAAACTTATGACGAATTGTATAAATCGTCAATATTAAATGTCGAGATTGCGTTTAATTTATTATTATTAATGTTTGTATGAGATATATTTGATTTACTAAAAATATCTCTAAAAGTAAATTCGATTATATTCATGTGTTCGATAGGTGATTTAAGGATAGGTGATTTAAGACATTATTAAATTTACATTTCAAATTATCAATTCTTCTTTTACTTAGCTTTACTGTATTTATTAAGCATTAATTTAATTTATATTATGTCGCATATGTAGTAATTATCACCGAAATGGAAATGCAAGTTATTTACATACTGCAAGCTCGTGGGCTGTAACTAAATTGATATTTCATTTGGTATCGTCATATAGTGAATAATAATCTATAACATATGGGCAATATTTCAGTATAGTTGGCAATATTTCGAAACGAGTCACAAAAATATTAATTGAAAATCATGCGAGCCGAGTACGAGATATCTCGTTAGCTCGTTCTAATTGGCCTGCGCGCGTTGTCGTTGACGCGTCCGCCCATTTTCCACTTTTCGAATCTTTTACGAAGCCGCCAGACGTATCAATTATTTTCGCTCTTTTGACAAATCGCTCGCGCTCGACGAAGTTCGTCCGTCGGACAGCCGGAAATTGAGGCGGGCCGTCGCTTTAATTGGTAACGTTTAACGATTACCTGCACCTTAATGAGCTTGCAGAAAAAAATTACCAGCAGCATCGGCAAAAAATATTTACACACACACACAC